GCCGCATGCAGAGCCTGCACCTGCCCCTCACTCACACCCTCTACCCTCAGTGCCTCGCGGTCACTGAGCTTCTGTTGGTCCTGCAGGTTCCCTCCCGGCCCTTCCCGATTTCCCACAGACCCCTCCTGATAATCGGAGCCTGCGGCTTCTTTGCAGATGGGAGTGCCTGCTGTCATCTCCCGTGCCGCGGGGACAGCCCTGCCTGATGATCGGCACTTTGCCACTTGTTGGGAATATCGGGAAAAGACCATCAAGTGTTGACATGGGCTTTCGGGACCCGGGGTCCCCTCCAGCCTGATACCTGAGTACCATGCACAGATGCTGTGTACTTCTGCATTGATATCGCTGGATGTAGTATTTTCAACCTCAACTGAGTCTTGTTATTTTACTTTTTTGGGAAATACAAAATTAATACAATTTGTCACTGTTCTCTAAGGGACGCTTATTATGCTGGGATTCTAGTATGTTTTACCAATTTAGTTGTTTTAATGGCCTGCAAGTGCCTTGATTTTAAAATCTTATTTGCCAGGTCTTTTGAGAGCTGGCTATAACCTGAGATTATTCTCATAATGGACTGCTTATATAATGTACTTCTTAGAAGCCAAGTGGTACTTATCACCTCGTTTTGCATATTGAGTGACATTTTTAGCTTGGTATTAATACTCCCACATTATAATAAAAATAATAATAGCAAGGATTTGAAAATCCATTACAAATCTCCTTAAACCCAGGTGAACTCATTAACTCTTAGATGAAAAAAAAAATGGAATTAAAAAAACAAAGACTTGATTTCATTCTGCCTGATATGACGACTTTGAGGAAGAACTAGAAGTCGAAGTGCATTCTCTTGGGTCAACTCCAGGGTTAGATTTGCTAGACTCAGCATCTAAAACGGTCCGAGATTTAAAAATGGAAGCAAAGCAAGAAGCACGTCCATCGGTTAGAAGTCAGACTGATGAGGCTGAAGGGAAGGCGGAGCTTCCTACCGCTGCCGTCCTGAGGGACGTGGAAGGAGGGAGACAAGAAAGTGGGTTAGGTGAACCCCCAAGTTACAAACAAACCACGCCAACAAGCTAGCATTTTCTAACAACTGGAGCCCTGTTGAGACACGTTTCCTGTCCTGGTTTGCCTTTGAAATGTTGCCATCTCCGTCTGCAAGGGCTCTATGGGTGTGAATTCAGTGACCTGCGGGATCTGGGGACATCTCCCAGGCACACACTTTACTCGGTGTAATGGGTTGAATTGTGTCAAATTCTTAGGTTGAAGTCCTAATCCCACTACCTGAGAGTGTGCCTTTATTTGGAGGTAGGGTCTTTTCGAGGGAACTAAGTTAAAAGTTGCCATCGGTGTGATCCCTAATCCAACCTGAGTGGTGTCCTTATTAAGAAGGGGGCACACACAGAGGAAGAGGGCCCTGTGGAGGTGAAGTCTGGCCTGGGGGTGAGGTAAAGAGTGCCAGAGGTTGCCAAGAAACCACCAGAAAATGGAAAGAGGCAGGGACCAGATCCTCCCTCAGAGCCTCAGTAGGAACTAGCCCTGGGTCTCAGGCTTCTGGGCTCCAGAACTGCAAGACAACACATTTCTGTTGTTTCTGCAACCCAGTGTGTGGGTCTTTGTTCAGGGGGCCCCAGCAAACTAACTCACTGGGCAGACACAGAACCAGAGTCATATCTGAGAAAATCCCATCCCATCAAGAGCTTACAGCGAACTGAGTGAGCGGTCCCCATGAAACACTTAGCAATGACAGGAGGCAAATCATGGTGTGAAGGCCACAGGAGCAATTCACGAAGTACCTGCTGTTAGAATTCAGATGACAGGAGAGAAGCAGACACTGACACCTCCAAGGAGTACCATGCTGTAGTATGTACGAGCAAGGCAATGGTGTGCACAGTCTAGAGCAAGGAACAGAGCCCATGGTTTTAGAGATGAACATTGGGAACAAAAACCAAGGCCCCACCTCTGTGTTGGCAAACCCCATCGTGTGTCCTCACCGGGAAGGGGAAAAGACCCAAGCGGGGTAAAAAGTACCCGCACGTAGGTAAGGTGCTTTCATGTGGAGGAGGTCATTTATCACACTCAAACTTTCCAGGAGGATGTGTATTTATTCTACATTATATCCTAATTTAACCATCCACAGAAAAGCAAAACTGCAAAATTTTATTTTCTTATTTCCACGTGACTCTGTAATGAGTGTAAAAATGTAAAAGTACCAAGGAGGAAATACCCAGGGGAACGTCCTTACTGCATGCAGATGACTTTATCATTTATAATCATGAAAAAAAAATGAAATCATGAAAGAAAAGTAGATTTTATTCATAAAGATGAGAACACTTACTGGCATTTGTAGAGCTTATTTAAATTCAAATACATCTTCAGTATTCGATCACAAGTCATGTGAAAAAAATTATTTAATAATTGACTTGGGTTTTCTTTAAATATAGCTTTGACCTGCTTTTCAGAGCTTTTTTTTTTTTTTTTAAAGATTTTATTTATTTCTTTGACAGAGAGAGACACAGAAAGGGAGAGAGGGAACACAAGAAGGGGGAGTGGGAGAGGGAAAAGCAGGCTTCCAGCCGAGCAGGGAGCCCGACGCGGGGCTCCATCCCAGGACCCTGGGATCATGACCTGAGCCGAAGGCAGACGCTTAACCGACTGAGCCACCCAGGCGCCCCCAGAGCTTTTTCTATCAGCCAACTTTCTATCAATGGGAATAACCGCTTGCTCATATTGGCTATGACCGATTACAGTCCACGCCATCCTTCCAAAAGCTCATTCAAATCTACTTTTACTGCACAGAATACAACAGCACTAGCGTTTTATTTTCCTCTAAGGAAATTCCCAATATGTAAGTCTAAATATCAAAGGTAGTGATACCAGACCATAGGGTAAGACCACAATGGAAATGTGACTCATCCTGAAACTTCAAAAGTTGCAACAGGCCACAAAAGTAATTAGTTACCCCTAATGCTTGGCAAGATTTCTGCTTAGATATTCTGTAATTGTGAAACACACTGCCAATAATTCGCTCTTCTTTAAACTTCTTGTTTGCTGTGACCGCTGGACCCCCGAGATGGCATTCTGTGGCAAGGAACACACTTGCATGACTATCTTCTACATCTCTATCTGCTTCAGGAAGAAAAGAGGAGTTTCCTCTAGGTCAGGTGTGCTGATTAAGGATATCCATTTTATACCGTCACTTACTGAGTTAAAAGTTAAAAGCAAGTAATTCTGTTGTGATCGCAGTAGTTAAAAATATAGATAGAAAGGTTGATGTCACATTTTAAAATGGGCATTGGAATAACCAGATGGAGATCCGATAAAATAAGAATCTGCTTAATTTGCAGGTAGATCCTCAAACTAATGAAACCAACATATAACTGTAGGAGATATCCTGTACAACAGCAAATGATTACCCGTTCAGAACTGGTTTTCCCCAATGTGTGGTTCACCATTTTGGCAATACCACTTAGTCCATCAATATTTGTCTTGTTTTAGTAGGAGTATTTGCAATTCAGTAGGAATAGGTATCTTGATACAAATTAAAGAGGAACACTGTTTCTCATGATAAGCACCATACTCCTGTTCACCTTTGTCTCAGAAATACATGACAAATTTTATTTCATTCCCCCCCAGTTTTACTGAAGTGTAATTGACAGATAAAAGTATGTATTTTTTTAAAAGATTTTATTTATTTATTTGACAGAGAGACACAGCCAGAGAAGGAACACAAGCAGGGGGAGTGGGAGAGGGAGAAGCATGCTCCCACAGAGCAGGGAGCCCGGTTTGGGGCTTGATCCCAGGACCCTGGGATCATGACCTGAGCCGAAGGCAGACGCTTAACGACTGAGCCACCCAGGTGCCCCAAAAAGTATGTATGTTTATATGATTTCACTCACATGTGGAATTTAAGAAACAAAACAAATGAACAAAGAAAAAGAGAGAAACAAAAACAGACTCTTCTCTCTAGAGAACACACTGCTGGTCACCAGAGGGGATGTGGGGGTCAGTAGGGGAGAAGTAGGTGATGAGGATTAAGAGGACACTTATCCTTGATGAGCACTGAGTAATGTACAGAATTGTTGAATCATTATATTGTACACCTGAACATAATATAATGCTGTATGTTAATGATACTGGAATGAAAATTTTTTAAAAAGCAGGAAAAATGAAAAAAAAAAGTTGTGTATATTTAAGATGTACACCATGATGGTTTGACATATGTATACATTGAAGAATGATTGCCACAATCATTTATTAATTAACTAATGATTAATTAACTGAATAAGGTATCCATCACCTCACATAGTTACTGTGTGTGTGTGGAGTGTGGTAAGAACACTTAAAATTTACCCTCTTGGCAAATTTCAAGCATACAAACCAGTATTATTAACTGTAGCCACCATGCTGTACATCAGATCCCCAGAATTCATTCATCTTGTAACTGAACGTTTGTATCCTTTGGACATGTCCCCATTTCCCCACATCAGCCCCTAATAGCCACCCCTCCACTCTCTGCTTCTGGGACTTTGACATTTTTAGACTCCACATATAAGTGAGATCAGACAATATCCATCTTGCTGTGTCTGGCTTATTTCACTTAGCATACTGTCCTCTAGGTTCATCCATGTTGTGGCAGAATTTTGATTTTTATAGCTGAAATAGTATTCTATTGCATGTAAATGCTGTATTTTCTTTATCTATTCATCCATTGGTGAAAACTTAGGTTGCTCCCATGGCCTTAGCTATTATGAATGATGCCCCATCAAACATGGGAATGCATAAACTCTTCAGAGATAGTGGTTTAATTTCCTTTGCATGTATATCCAGAAGTGGGATAGCTGGATCATACAATAGTTCTGTTGTTAATTTTTTAAGGAACTTCCATAGTGTTTTCCATAGTGTCTGTACCAATCTACGTTTTCACCCGCAGAGGATTCCTTTTTTTCCACATCCTCCCCAACAGTTATTTCATGTCTTTTTGACAATAGTCTCTCCAACAGGTGTTAAGTGATCTCTCATTGCGGTTTTGATTTGCATTTCCCTGATGATTGGTGATGCTGAGCACATTTTCATTTACCTATTGACCATTGGTAAGTCTTTTTTGGGAAAAAAAATGTCTATTCTGGTCCCTTGACTACTTTTTAATGGGATTATTTAGTTAGTTAGCTCTAACTCAATAGCTTATAACTCAATAAGAGTTCTTTATATGCTTTGAATATTAATGCCCTCTCACACATATAATTTGCAAATATTTTCTTGCGTTCTATAGGTTGTCTTTTCATTCTGTTGAAGAAACCTTTTAGTGTGATGTAGTCCCACTTTGTTTTTGCTTTTGGTGCCTGTCTTTTTGGTGTCATGTCATCTGATATTTTAGACACTGAGGACATGCGACTCTTGGCTGTTCTGGAGCTGTCAAGAAACTCAAGGCTCTCCTCCATGAACAGCAACAATGGGAACAATTGCAAATCATAGTGCAAATCATGTTTTGATATTCATCTTGGAAGTGTTTTCACCTCATGGTCATTTATATAGGAATATCTTATCCGAAAAAGCAAGCAGCAGCCTTACCAGTAATTTGGAAATTGCCTTTAAATCCAGCCACTTTCTGGAGCACCTGGGTGGCTCAGTCGGTTAAGTGTCTGCCTTCGGCTCAGGTCATGAGCTCAGGGTCCTGGGATGGAGCCCCGCATTGGGCTCCCTGCTCAGTGGGGAGCCTGCTTCTCCCTTTCCCTCTGCCACTTCCCTTGCTTGTGCAGTGTCTTTCTCTCTCTCAAATAAATAAATAAAATCTTTAAAAAAATAAATCCAGCCACTTTCTTTTCTTGTAATTTTTTGAAACAAACTTACTGTGAATTGGGTGACATAATCAGTCTCAGTTCATATAAATGCTAAGCGACAGTTGTAGTTCTAATTTTAACACTCTAAGCAGAGGTTTCTAAACACTTTGGGGTGACACACCTATCAGTAAAAAGTTTTCAATCATAAATATCCAAAGTCACTAATTTTTTAATTTATAAGTTATAGATGTGGAAGTCTTCTAATATATTTGGAGCATTAAAAAAGATACACAGAAACATCAAGTGAAACTGTGAATCAGACAAGCATATATGCAAGTGGAGGTTCTAACAGATGTCCTTGTACTGCGATTCATCACTTCCTGCAGGCTTTGGGGCACGTGCACCCCGCTTTTGAGACCCCTGAGCTAATCGGAGACCTGGGGGCTTCAGGGAGGTCCTCATGGGGAAAATGAAGTGGTCCTTCCCCTCTTTATGACCCCGCCTGAGTGAGTAGGCTTCGGAAGTAAAGCCACACTGGGTAACAGTAACTTTTAAATATTCATTAGTATGATTCATTGTAATGTTTATTACTTTGAAATCACAAAGGATGAATTATTTTCTTCTAGGTAGAGCACAGCTACAAGAAGATGTCTGCCATAATCACAAAGGGGAAGTAATGGATTTTGTATTAGGGCACATAAATGAGATCACCGACACATGAACACGCATAAATCTCCTATGTTGGGAGAAGATGGGGCCCAGGGTTTATTGATTACCTACCACGTGGCAAGCATGATTCCAGACAGCTCATATATGTGGAAAGAGATAAGGCCGTACAGCTTTTACCTAAAATGTTTGGTACGTAGCAGGTTCTATTATGGCCTTTCTCATGGAATCATCAAAACTATCAAGGCAATTAGGCATTGGTATCCTTATTGTGTATAAGTGGGTCACTTCTGGATAAGAGGTGTTTAAGAACTTAGCCATGGTCACACCCAGGAAAAGGCAGAGAGGCCTTTCTGATTCCATAGCTCCTCTCCTGGGGTTTTGTCTTTGTTTTCTTCAGTTCTGTCACTGTTTACCTGTGATAGGCCTCGCCAACTCGTTTTGCCATATCACATGGACAATGATGGTGGATGTTGTTCCGGGGACCAGACCCACAGAGCAGTGCATGCATCCTTTGTTGTTCTGGTGGAACAGCCACAGGGTGGGCATTATAATTACATCCAAACATCCAAAACATGCTTTAAAATGAATGACCTTTATTCCCCTGTTTTTGGTGTGTGGGCAGCAATGGGCTTATGATGATTACATTTGAAGACCCTTTAGGAGAATGGATTTCTTTCAGTGTTTAGTTGTCTGTCATCTGTATTAGTTATCTATTGGTGTACACAATTACTCCTAAAACATACTCAAATATACCGACTAACTTTTTTCTAGGCAGAGTTGTCTCTTTTTACCAGGTGGTCCATATACTGTGTACATACACACTACTTTATGACTTCTCCAACTTATCATACGAACAAGACCTTTTCTGCGTTATGAAAGAAACTTGAACAATGTAATATAGAATGAGCATGTAATTTTCCAATAAGTGGTTGTACCAGTTTAACCAACAATTGCTCTTTGGTGGTGGTTCCCATGTGTTTTAACCATAAAAAACAAAGCAAGGATAATATGTTATTATGGATCAAATTGTGTCCCTTCAAAATTCCTATATTGAAGTTGTAACCAACAGTGTGTCTGTCTTTGGAGTAAGCAAGGAAGTCAGGTTTCCGTGAGGCATAGAGTGGGTCCCTGATAGGACGGGAGGGGACAGTGGATAGCTCCCTCCCTGCCCTCAGTGAGAAGGCTATGGGCAGGCCAAGAAGAGAGCTCTACGCAGCCACCTGACCTGTGATCTGCCGGCACCTTGATCTGGGACCTCCAGCCTCCAGAGCTGTGAGGAATGCATGCCTGTTGTTTATAAACCTCCTGTCTGTGGTCTGTTGTTACTATAGCCTGAGCTCACTAACGTCATACCTTTGTGCATAAGGCCCTCGGTGCTTCTCCCACCCTGCGTCTGCTCCTGTTTGTGCTTCAGTATCCCATCAGACCTCACTGAAGAGCAGGAGTTCAAAGATAAAATAATTAAGAACTCAGGATGGCAACGGCAGAGCCTGAAATAGGCGGGGGCCCTCCCAAGCGTCCACCCCCTGTACCTTCACAGGCTCTCGCCCAAAGACCTGGCGCTGACTCTCGGCAGCTCATGGGGGTTCCCGGCACCAACACGGGGGCCTTGCTCACTATTATTTGTCCCCACCACGCAGTGCTCTTGGCACCTGGTAGATATGCTGTAGATGTCTGATGTTGTTAACTATGTTGTCCCAGGGAACGGACTCTTAGCTCTATTTTAAAGAGCTTCTTGGACTAAAACCACATTTTTAGTGGTTGTTCTATGATTCTATATTGAGAAGTAACCAGAGAATCACAGAAGTCTGAAGCTGGAAGGAATTTTCTGTCTGGTGGTTTTCAAGCTTATTTTTGTTTGATATTTTCTGTGAGCCAAGGAGACGGTCCTTCGAGGCGCAGTTTGAAGGAGGCAGTTTGTAGGTGATGCAGAGAGCCCCCCAGCCCTCCCTTTCCCTGAAACATAATTTGAAAACCAATGATCTGGTCCAAAGTGCTTATCTAAAACCTTTATTTATTTGCTGCCCTCTTAGGGATCTTCAAAAATGACAATTCCAAATTAAAACAAGCAAAAAAAGCATTATCGTAGGGTTTTAAAAACATGGCAGGATACGTAGTAGGTGTTTGCACATGACATATTCATCTGCCCAAATCTCAAGAATTAGAAACTAACCGTGTAGGCATGAGCGTGACCTTGGGCTCCAGGAAGGTGGTTATATTCAACACCATCTGACCTCCCAGTGGCGACAGTGGGAAGCACACAGGTAGTGACAGTGCAGGGAGACCTGGTGGTCTCAGTGAACAAGGACTGTGCCTTCTACCTGCATTCACGGGTTCATGGCTCCGCCCCAACTTCCTTCCCTCTCTCCAAGCTGCTCCCCTTACTTTATGGGGCTCCTGTTATCACCATCACTTGCCTGTTAAATGAGATCAGGTCAGTTTCCGCATGTTCACGACCCAGCAAACTTGCCAAATCACTACCAGGGAGTTGGCATCGTGGGGCATTCTGTTCTTTTTCAGGTGATATATTGTCGTGCAATATCCCATTGCTTTTATAACTTTATGGATCCATTCATGCCACAGTGTGTGAGCACTTCCTGGGCGTGTTGTGGTCTACTCGATATCAGGAGAGTTGCAAAGGTGAGTGAGACACGGTCACAACTTTCCATTAGGACGGGAGGTAGCCTGGGACTCAATCATAAAGGAAGGAAAAAAAATGTGTATTCCAACAATGGTTTCAAACAGTCATAGCATTAAAAAAAAATCTAATTTTCTCTTAATAGCCAAATTTAAAAAAAATTGAGGGGGTTAAATATTATGTACAGGGCCTTAAAAAGCATTATTTTAGGACCTCAGCATGCAGTAAGTTAAACATATGCTTTCTGCATTTTTTTTCCATTCTAACATTTTTAGGAAAAGTCATTTGGCTTCTAAAATGTTACCAAAGTAAAGTTGAGTCAAACACAGGTTTCAGTGAATTTTATCATTAAGTATAAATAGGTTACAAAAATATAAAAAAAAAAAACCAAACCCATAGGTTACGATTTGCACAGTTAATGAGGAAAGAGGAACTAAAAGAAGATTATAGAAACCACAATCAAGGTTTTGAAAACTTAGCTTAAAAGTCCTACCAGGAGATAAAAAATACGTAAGTATGCTTGTTTTACCAAAAAAAAAAAAAAAAAAATAGAATTCCTCGTCCCTCCACCTCCTCACTCTCTATTCTTCTTAGAATTTGTATGTTAAGTTTACATGGTTCCCTTTCCAGTATGTTTATTTACAACACTGTCACTGTTTCCATAGTTATGCAGAATGTCTGTTTCCATAGCAACACTCTAGGTTTCCTAAACAAATAGTATCACAGTGTTAATCTTGTTTCAGTGTTATTGTACTATGTTATTAGATACAAAATTCAAAAAATAATTTAAGCAGGGTTTGAAACTAGGTGGGTTGGTTTTATTGCCTGGTGCTTTTGATATTAAATTTCAATTTCATATTAAAACACACATCCATTTGAAAAATAGTGGGGATTTTGCATAGTAAACATGATACCAATTTTATTCGCTAGTTATAAAACACTGTAATTTAATAAGAGGGTGTTCCAATACATGAGCAATATCCAGGGAGAGGTTTACCATCTTCAGATTAAAGTGACGGTTTTTCAGTTGGCCTGGGTGATTTAGCTTCCCCAAATCTCTGAAGTCATTTATAACCTACCCACAGCAATATTTTCCTTTGCAATTTTTGCATTTTAAGTAATTTCTATGCGTTTTGCCTTTTATTTTGTAGCCCTGGAGGAACAGCTGCAAAATAGACTTCAAGGGAATTTTACTACTTCCTTTTTCTCCGATTGAAAAAAAGAGAGAGAAAAGCGAGTAGGTTTTTGTGCTTTCTGTCTTTACATTTGCCTACCGTTACCCTTCATTTCTTCTCTTGGGAGCAGATCTTTTGGACTCTTTGCAGAAATGGGACTATGCCTTTGCTCCAGCTCCCGAGGCTCCCATGAGCACTGAAGGAGAAGATCGCCAATGTGGGGCTAGTTCTTTTACTTAACAGAAGTAAGAGGTGCTCTACTGACAATTTTCCGGTCAGACGTTTGAAGTGGGCTGCCGGGCCCTGCAGGTCTGGGTCTTGGCGCCCTGCACTCTGCCCCACTTAACCAGGCGCTTCCGAGGCCTGCCTCTCACTTTCTGTTTGAGTCTGTCATCCTTTAAGAACATATTTAAATGACTTTCCCTCCCTGATGTTCGCATGAAAAGGAATCGATATGGCGGGGGCATATAATAATTTATAAATGGGAAATAGTTCGCTCTGCTTTGAGGAGTCCGTGATGAGCCGAAGTTGATGTCACAGTTTGGACCTACTGCGCCCTGGGGTGTCAGTCTGGGACAGTCAGGCCTCTGAGTGAGTGGATCCCAGCTCAAGTGTCTCCTCGCTGCCAGATTTGCGGTCCCTGCTACCGGGCTTCTCTGAGCCCCTATCTTCCTCATCTGTAAAATTGGGAAGAGACCACCCACTCCACAGAGTTGTGGGGAGATTAGCATGGTAACACTTGCTAAGCGTAAACTTGTTACACGTTACTCATTTTCCCTTCTTCCTTTTGATAATTTGAAGTGTGGGGTCAGAGAGAGCCTGAAGCAGGGGAGGTACCTGTGGGGGCTCAGCACTGGCCATGGAGCTTCGTCAGCTTTTCCCCACCACCATCCTGTCTCTGGTCTATCTGCAGCAGGTAGCTTTAGGTTTTCTGCTCAGCGGAGGTAAACATTCAGACTTGCCAGAGCTGTCTCCTCAGTGTGCTTGCCCTTATTGAGCAGCAGATCTGCAGTATGGGAAGCCCCAGAGAAGGGGTCCTTCCGGCCCTCCATCCCTGCAGCAAACCTTACCCCAGCGTCCCTTGGCCTCCAGGCACAGCAGGGCATCTGGGGACCTTGTGGAAATGCAGATTTGGGTTCAGCAGGTCTGGGTGGGGCCCGAGTTTCTGCATGGCTGACAGGCTTTCAGGTGACACCCAACTGGCTGGTCCGGGGACCTCACTTTGAATGAGAAGGATCTAAACTCCCCACATTGGAGCTTTTCTCAAATTTGTTAAGACCCTAGTTAGGGGCCAGTTCCCATACCATTGGGTCCTCAAACTACTTTGGCCTGGGTCTATTTGGGGTTCTTATTCTAGGACAGGATCCAAATCATCTATTTTCTCTGAACGTCTTCTTGTAAGACGGAGAGGTTGGGCTGCCTGGAATCTCCTGGGTCCTTTTCAGTGAACAAATGTGGCACCCTTCTGTTTTGCAGAAGTGAAACAAACCCGGGAAGACGCAAAATTGCATCAATTCAAACTGTCATCAACCAAATTTTGTTCAGCGGATTTGAATCTCCTATGAGCCTAAGGATCAACACGATTCAGTTCTATCAGGAAAAATACATAACATTTATCAGAATTGGTTATTAGAAATCATTTAATACCCTGATCAGGGATTTACTTATGAATGAGTTTAGAAGCTGACTGTTTTATGTAACCATCAAAATTTACAATATAATTATTGTTTCAAAATTCTCTGAGAAAGTGTGTTCTCATTTCTTTTTGTTATGCTGACAGTATAACATATCCAGTGAAGTTTTCTTAGACAATATTATGTTTGGTTTCTGTTCTCTTGTATGTCAGAACCCTGTTGGCATTTTACTTTTTATATGTTAATAGCACAGTTTCTTGAAAAGGAACCTTTTAATGGCATTTCACTCTTCTCTGAGATTATATTTTAAAAGGAAATTGTATCTGAAAGATCTAAAAAAAACCCACCAGGGCTTTCTAGGGGATTTTGTCACTCGTGTTTTCCTTGCTTATGATCTCATTGTCGAGGACTGTATGAGCTTCTAAGAGCCAGTGGATTATGGTTTCTAATAAATATGTGCAAACAGAATTATTTTCACTTTTATTGATATGCTAAATATATTCACCCAACTGACATTGACCTCATAATAAATCATGACGAATCTGTTTGCCCTTCTCCAAAATAACAGTACAATTGTAACAAAATCAATTCCCTTTGGGAAAGAAGGCAGCCGCTTTCCCACAGTGGCTTGCCTGCCCCGGAAAATACCCTGTCAAAGAAAAATCACATAAACATATAAAAAATGTGCATGAAAACAGTCTCATACTCACACCATGAGGAGCATAAGAGCTCATGACAATTAAGCACTTACTACCTGGCACATGCCAAGGGTTCAATGAATATTACGTACTGCTATTATTCCTGGCTCTTATCTCACTATTCATAATCTCATTTCATTGTTTATAACAAGCAGGACGACAACAGAACACACTGTCCCTAACTCTCTATGCCTGTGTTAAGATAGAATGTTTTACACATGTATATACATAATCTTTTTCTTCGAAGGAGGGTCCTTTCATAGATGATGATTTCAGATAACTGAGGGGAAATCCTGACAGTACAGTAGAAGGAAATAATGCAAATATTCTCTAAAAGCCTATAATTACTATAATTTGAATGTCCAATTCAAACAGATTACCCTTCTTAGGGTGGTCTGATCGTAGACTGGCATATGGAAGATTAGGGTACATAAAGAAACTTTTTCTTTTCTTTTTTTTAAATATTTTATTTATTTATTTGAGAAAGAGAGAGCAGAGTGAGAGAGAGAGAGAGCATGAGTGTATATACTTCTATGTGAAAGGCATGTATATTTTTCCTCTAAGCGTATTGATTAAAAATCAATTGTATCCAGTTGTATGATTGCTTTTGTTACATGGTACTATCATAGAAGTACTGTTTTCCAGAACAAAGAAGAAGGAAAACTTAGGAAGAAGTTGGAAGTGAAGCCAAGCCACCATTCCAAATCACCAAAACCAAACATTCCGTTGGATGGATGGTTTTCACTTAGGGAGGTTATTAAGCCATTCTCTTCTGCTTGTTCTGGGTAATCATGAAAGGGCACTCGCAAAGAAATTCTCTATTATTTTGTGGGGCTTTTCCATAGTTTATTTATGCAAGGTAATGCCCAGAGTGTTTTCCCTATATAAATACATCATGATAATTATCAGGAAAATGCACAGCAGCATTGGAAGGAGAAGCTGGGGAGACTCATTGGAACATCCAATGTTCCAGCTGGAGACATCCCAGGAACATGATTAAGGACACTAACTCAGCTGTCAGATGCCCGGGTTTGAATCCAGGCTCAATACTTCATGAGCCGTTTGATTAGGAGAAAGTTCCCTTGATTCTTTGTGCCTCAGATTATTTACTCATCTTTGTAATCGGGATATAATAGTACCTATTCCAAAAGGCTATTGTAGGAATAAGCATAACAGTGTACATTAAGTGATTAGTGCCGTGCCTTATACACAGTAATCAATACATGTTAATGATTATTGGAAAATGAATCATGTTTCCTGTAACTGCCATTGAGACCATTAGTCATTTACAAAGGTTTAATGAGCTGCTTCTTATTTTGCCAAAGCTGATTATAAACTTACTACAGTTTGATCCTGTAATGTTGGCAAACATTTAGCCAGCCTGAAGCTTCTAAGTCAAGGGAGGATCTCAAATTCTAGAAAGAACTGAGTCATCCGTCAGGTACTCTTCGTTCAGAAAGGGTTGTGAAGATCAGGAATTTTAAGATAAAGTCCAAGACGGCTTGGATGTTAAATAATTTTTAAACTCTGGGTTTCACTTTATCAACAGAATTCCAGCAGTAACCATTCAACCAATGGTTTTAGCCACCTTGGCTGCCACGGGCAGATTCGGGCAGATTCGGGGTCTGGTTCACAGTCGGCTGTCTTCTGAGCCCTCACCTGGCCTTTCTTCCATGTGTGCTCGGAGAGCATGAGTGTGGCTCTATGTTCCTCTTCGAGGACTGGGGCCCTGCCCATATAACCTCATTTAAATTTGCTTCCATAAAGAGCCTATCTCCAAATGCGAGCACACTGCAGGTCGGGGCTTCACCAAAGTCATTTTGGGGAGACACAAACGCTCGGTCCCTGGCACCAGTCCGTAGGGCTATTTCTTCTGTAGACAGCTTATAAATCTAGAATAACATGACAGCATTTCCTTCTAGCGCTCCTCCTCGGGTCCCACCTTCCTGTCCTCCGTCCTTCCGTGTCCCCACCCGGACCTTTTCCTGGTCTGTGGTCCTGCTGTGTGGCAGGTGGAGACTGTGGGGATGCCCTCAGGACTTTTGTCTGCTCTTCTGATAACTTTGAACATCAAACATCTGTATTTTTATTCGAAGTCTTATAGATTGTTTGCTTTTCAGTCACATTTTGCTTGTGTGAGTCTTCGCGATGGTTGACAGCCCTGAGGCTCCCCTCCTTCAGTGCTCCCTGTGCTTTCTTGGTTGGTTTTGATGACCCCAGTCATTGTCTTTCTCCTGGAGAGGGAACCCCAGTCTGAGGAGCAGCATTTAGGTTTGGCGTTAGCCTTTGTCTAACGAGGATTACCACAGAGCCTCCTTGAGGTCGTTAGCCAAGAAGTGCCAAGCCCTGGGGACACTAGTCCAAAGGAAGCTGACTAGGAGACAGGCTTGTGAAGAGATGAGCAGCACCTAGTAGGGGGTGAGTGAGGCAGGGCAGGCAGGGGAGAGGTGACCCACAATGCAGTTATTGCACTTGGGGGGGGGCGGGGGAGCTCAGCGGATCCCACGAGTTGCTCTGAAACAGGCACGGCACCTCAGAGATGTTTCCAGACAAACTACAGATGCACCACTTTGTGGCCTGCATGGGCCCGTCATTGGATCCTGGCTGCTCCCAGGGGCTGGGGTATCTGGAGCCTCTTGGCTCCCACTAGCGGAGGGCCATTCCAGGAGGGCCAGCCTGGGGCTGGGGGTGGTGCTGAGGGGGCAGCCGGGCAGTGCTGCCGGCATCCACCCAATGGGAATTTGACTGGTCAGTTAGGAACATTCTGCTGTGGATTTTATTGGCCAGTCCATTTTTTGGCCATGTACTTCGTGAAGCTGCTGGTTAAGGACAATTTTGAGAGAAAATTTTGTTCATGAAGCCTGGGACCCCACTTCTCAAACAATGGCTTTTCTGAACGGTAATCATAGTTTTTAAGGTATCTTTAAAGGATCCACTCGGAGGCCGATAGCATTCCAATTATTTGGACAGCGAGTATGCACCATGAAGGGCTGGCACCATGATAAGATGGCCAACGGGGCAATTGAGAGGGAAAACCACAGAACTGAGGTCCCCGTAGGGAGCTGTTGCACCCCCAGGGCCAAGGGAATGAAAGGAAGAGCTCCGAGTCGGGGCTCCTGGAGCCCAGACCCAGGTCTCCGGAAGGGTGTCTGTGGGACTGGGGCTGGTGTCATGGTTCCAAGGGCTGGGAGACTCCACACTTGGCCCAGAGGCTGCTCGAGAAGCATCATTGCTGGTACCACAGCTGTAGAGACAGAAGTCACAAGAAGCCCAGAGGCAGCCCACAGGAGGCCTGGGGGTCAGGGGTCTCTTTCTTCTCCAAGCCTGCGGGCTCCGGCGAGTGCCTCTCTGGCCAGGCCTGCCCAGGCTGCGGCGTGCCGGTCAACTCGGCATCACAGAGCCGGGCAGGAGTGGAGCCGAGACGCTCGGCTGATGTCCACTTAGATTGTGAACATTTTCATGGGGAGCAATGTCAACATACACACTGATTCGTTTTCCCTTAATAAAAATCATAAGGGCCAGTCACTGCTCCCACTTTGAATCCTGCAGCTGCTTTCTGACAAAATGCCTGGTGGTCTATGAGATGTCCCTGATGTCAAACAAGAAATAGAATAAGTCTTTCCACATGAATGGCAGTTTATTAACACTGTTTTGGCTGAGGGGTGTAACACTGGTCTGGGGTTTGGAAGGATTGACAAGGGGTTTAGCTTTGAGGATGCAAAAGATGGTTTTAGATGGATTTTCTTCAATTCACAGTAAGTCTTTGATTTTCTAAGGTGATTGTCTTGCAAAGGAATCCCTGATATTCTTTAATAAAAGTGGCTGCAATGTTGGAATGTGGTTCTAATATGCATGCAAATCAGGGAAAGATCAGAGACCATGTAACGTGGGGAAAGTCCAAATAATTGGGTTCAGGAGGAGCAGAGAAGGAAGAACTGGATATAGAATGGAACAAGGGAGCGCGGAAGGAAGCTAACAGGAGCGTCCTGCTGCAAGGCTGGGGGCTTGGCCGCTGACCAGGAGGTGGCTGACAGACGGCCACCTGCAGGGACTGACTCCTTTCCGGGCTCAGGAGGACTGCTTGGGGTTGTCACCCCTCATCAGGGACAGAGCCTGAAGACCCTGTGCCTATACGTGCCCAAGCGCAGGACCGCCAGGTTAGGCTACCTGGAAGCCCCTCCCCTCCTGCGGTAGGACTGCGTCCTGCACAGAGTTTGGCAGCGACCAGGAGACCAGGAACCTCAGCCATCTGCCTTCTTTGCAATTCCTTGCGGAAAAGGGTATTAGACTCTTTTCGTTTTTCTTGAAATACCTACTGATTTTTTTTTTCTGTCCTATTTATCTTTATGTACCTTGGTACAGGCGTTTTCCAAAAATTAGTGTTGCTTTTGTTTTTCAGAGATTTCAGTGACCCGAGATTCCTTTCTCTTTATTGATGAGGACAGTGCCTGGAACTGCCTGCCCTCAGGAGACACAGGGGTCCCCTTTGTAATTGCTTGGAAATGAGGAACTTCCAGAGACCCAGAAGAAGAATTTGACCTTGGGGTGTGAATGGTTAATGGGAGCTTGTTGCAGAGGAGGTCCTGTTTCGGTTGACTGGTGGGTAAAGCCCACCCTGATCCTGAAGCAACTTGCCTGGGAGGTTCTTGACTACAGGCCTTTTCTGACCACACACAGAGATACCCAACTGGCTCTACAGAAGACATTTTCTAACTTTCCAAGGGATTTCTCCCTGTCGCATGTTTCACAGAGGATTTTCCCCCATCTCTCTCTCTATCTCTCTCTGGGTTTTTCCGATTACTAATTGTATAATGATTTCTGGTCCTCTCTTTAAGCCTCAACTTTCAGATGAGCAGCGGGGGGTACAGATAAATAGGTCAGTTATTAGTGACGTCACAGGGAACTCTGAGCTTCAATGAACTGTGCACGGCGTTTGAAAGGCAAGATAGAAAGCAATGTGACTAAAGATGTAAGCAGGGTTACCTCATTTTAATAACAAAGTCCAGCAACAGATGAGGAATCAGAACAAAGTTCCTCCTTAAGTACATAATTGGGGAATGAAATGACTCATTTTTACTAGTTAATGTACAATGAACTGTATGGGGCCGGAGGGGACTCAGCCCCCTTCTGCTTATCTGTAAATTCCAGGGTGCCTTCCTTTATTATAGGGGCACTCCAGTCCTCAAAACTACCTAGGGGAACCAGACAATCAGCGAAACACCTCACATTATTTGCTGGGGAGCCATTATGGCCAGACAATTGTCCCATCCTCCAAGGGGTTTGCTGCTTCCCATCTTATTTTGTCCATTGTCTCAAATTTCCAGACGTTTCCTGAGACTCCTGTGAACTCAAGGCAGGTGGGACAAGTAACAAATTAAAACAAATCCATCCTTCCCAGGAAGGAGAATTTCCTGGCAAATCTGAGCTTCAGATTTGTCCCTGTCTGAGGTCCGTATTGTCATGGAAGTTCTGGGATTGGGTTGGATGAATCTCCAAGGCCTGGGGTTGCCCCAGATGCATCCCTGTCTCCTCAAACACTTGGAAATGTTCCCAGCCCTCCCCATTCTGTTCCCAGTGCTACTGATTCACTTATTTATCAAATGGATGACACATGCATCTGCTAGTCACTAAGGATCCAGCCATATTTTTATTCAATCCTCCCGGAATTAACCAAGTAAGCAGCTACTTATCGACAGTCAGAGAGCCAGGCAGAGTGCATATGTCCCTGTGGGCAAGGTCATGGGTGGCCTGCTTTGCAGGCTCTGTGCTTATCATTGTGCTTGGCACATTGATTGCTCTATAAATATGTGTGACTTAAGTAAGTGAGCAAATTGGAGCAACAAGATAGGAAGCTGTTTTCCAGGGCACTTATCTCCCAGCATAGCTCTCTGCTTTGAGACCAAAGGTGCTAAGACACTCTCAATGTACACTATGACATTGATGAACCCAGGAGCACAGTGGTCAGCGAGTTTATGGGTGGACAAAGGGATGGAAAAATATGCATATACTGTGAATGTATATCTGCAATCTGAAATACTGAATTTCTTTTGGTAAGAGGAAAAAATATCATAATTCCTTTTTTATTGCTGGATCCATAGCTGATCTCACTGAAGCTATATAAGAAAATTCTTGGTTTACTAGTATTGTCAATCGAATCAGGTTTTTTTTAACTTTAAGTTTTTATTTAAATTCCAGTTCGTTAACATACAGTGTTTAAATTAGTTTCAGGTGTACAATATAGTGATCTAACACTTCCATACATCACCCCGTGCTCATCACAAGTGCTCTCCTTAATTGCCATCACCCATTTCCCCCGTCCTCCCACGCCCACCCTCTGGTGACCATCAGTGTGTTCTCTGTAGTTAAGAATCTGTTTCTTGGTTTGTGTTTCTCATTTTTTTTCCCTTTGCTTGTTTGTTTTGCTTTTTAAATTCTACATATGAGTGAAAAAATATGGTATTTGTCTTTCTCTGACTGAATTACTTCACTTAGCATAATACTCTCTAGCTCCATCCATGTCATTGCAAATGGCAAGATTTCTATCTTTTTTATAGCCCAATAATATTTCATTGTATATGTACACCACCTCTTCTTTACCCATTCGTCAATAGTTGGACACTTGGGCTGCTTCCATATCTTGGCTATTATAAATAATGTTGCTATAAACATAGGAGTGCATGTATCCTTTTGAATTAGTGTTCTTGTATTCTTTGGGTAAATACCCAGTAGTGTGATTGCTGGATCATGAGGTAGTTCTATTTTTAACTTTTTAAGGAACCTCCATACTGTTTTCCAGAGTGGTTGCACCAGTTTGCATTCCCATCAACAGTGCACAAGGTTTCCCTTTTCTCCAGATCCTCACCAACACCTGTTGTTTCTTGTGTTGTTGGTTTTAGCCATTCTGACAGGTGTGAGGTGATATTTCATTGCAGTTTTGATTTGCATTTCCCTGACGATCAGTGACGTTGAGCATCTTTTCATGTGTCTGTTAGCCATCTGGATGTCTTTGGAAAAATATCTGTTCAGGTCCTCTGCCCATTTTTAATCTTATGTTTGGTTTTCTTTTGTGTTGAGTTGTATAAGTTCTTTATATGTTAACCCCTTATTGGATATGTCATATGCAAATAACTTCTTCCATTCAGTAGGTTGTCTTTTCATTTTGTTGATTGTTTCCTTCACTGTGCAGAAGCTTTTTATTTTGGTGTAGTTCCGATAGTTTATTTTTGCTTTTGTTTCCCTTGCCTCAGGAGACGTAGCTAGAAAGAGGTTGCTATGGCCAATGCCAGAGAAGTTACTGCCTGTGTTCTCTTCTAGGATTTTGATGGTTTCAGATCTCACATTTAAGTCTTTAATCCATTTTTGTGTATGGTGAAAGAGCGTGATCTGGTTTCATTCTTTTGCATGTGGCTGTCCAGTTTTCCCCACACTGTTTGTTGAAGAGACTGTCTTTTTCCCATTGCATATTCTTTCCTGCTTTGGTGAAGATTAATTGACCATATAATTGTGGGTTTATTTCTGGGTTTTCTATTCTGTTCTATTGATCTATGTGTCCATTTTTATGCCCAAACAGTCCAACACTGTTTTGATCACTACAGCTTTGTAATATAACTTGAAGTCCAGAACTGTGATGTTTTCAGCTTTTCTTTTCTTTTTCAAGATTGTTTTGGGTATTTGGGTCTTTTGTGGTTCCATACATATTTTAGGATTGTTTGTTCTAGTTCTCTGAAAAAATGCTGTTGGTATTTTGATAGGGATTGTATTAAATGTCTAGATTGCGTTGGGTACTATGGACATTTTAACAATATTGTTCTTCCAATCCATGAGCATGGAATACCTTTCCATTTGTGTGTGTGTGTGTGTGTGTGTGTGTGTGTCCCCTTCAATTTCATCAGTGTTTTATAGTTTTATAGTTTTCAGAGTACAGGTCTTTCACCTCTTTGATTAGGTTTATTCCTAGGTATCTTATTATTTTGGGTGCAGTTGTAAATGGATTGTTTTTAAATTTCTCTTTGTGCTGCTTCATTATCAGTGTGTAGACATGCAACGGATTTCTGTACGTTGATTTTGTATCCTGTGAGTTTACTGATTGAATCAGTTATTTTGGACCAACCAAAATGTATATATTTTTTTATCATGAAACAAAAATACCAATAAGTCTATAACTAATAAAAAGTCCGGACTAATAGCTTCTAATTGCTTGTTAGTCCCCCTGCCCCCCAAAATATACAACCTAGTTCTATGTCCAATTTTAAATTAAAACAGGTTGATAAATTCAATTTTCTATAATGTTACTCAGCTGTAGATGCCTAAGTTGTTTGGGACCTACTGGCTTGAGAAATTAAGATTCTCATGCAGTGAACAAACTAATGAGAATTTCTTTCCAAGATCAAAACTAGTCTTTGTTTCCAGGAGGCTGCCTTTATTTATTTATTTTTTTTAAATGGTGGTGCTTGTTTTTGTACATATTGTTCTTTCTGTGTGTTATCTAAGATGTCATAAAAATACTGCTATAAAAGCTACAGGACTGAGTTGGATTTCAGGCCTTCACATTTCTCTAGTAGTCTGTGTTCTAAAGGGTGGGGTGCTGTTTCCTGCACTCAGCTGATCGACTTGGGACAAGCTTTTACCACCAAGCCACCTTGTCTCTGGCCATCCATCATGTGCACCCTGTTTGTAATCAAGGGCTCTCTGGCCGGAGGGGGATGTTTTGGTTTCGTCTCCAGCATGTTGGTCTCAGGAATGTTCAGCATGAGGGGGAAAACATGAAAAGGTCAGTTTCACATGAGGCCAGATGATCTCAGTGGTCATTTCCCACAAATGACCTGGCCGTGACATCAACTTTCACTTTTCTTATGACTGCCTTCTTTGAGAGCGTCCACATTCCACATTAGCAAATTAACAATTTCAATGAATTTTGACATCAATCAGGTATCTGCTCAACCTCCAACCCCTCCACTTTCTGCCTCTTGTCTTCTCACTTCAGACGGTGCTATTGGCAAGCAGACCTAATGGCACGTGTGTTTCCTGGGCTCCCATTTTGATCTATGTGGTATTTTTTGGAGGGAAATATGAGCCAACTTTAAAAAAATGGGAAGATTCTGTAACACCTTTAGATTTCCATCTTCTCCTCCAAAATGAGGGAAATCCAGCAAGACTAGATGCAAATTTCCCTGACGCAACCCTGCCTTCATTAAGGGATATCTGCCCCCATTTCCCCAAGGTCTCTAGCACACCCTAGAGCTGCACCTGCTGAGACCAAGTGCTTCTTTCCAGTTGTTCCTGTGTTTTTGTGTCTGTGTTTCTTACTCCCAGCCCACGTTTCTTCTTATGTGGCTTTCTTGGTCCATGAAGGCATTTTTATTTGCAACTTCTACTCTTCATAGCATTTTATTCATCAAATCTTAGCTTTGGGAGTTTTGGTAGATATAATCCTATTAAGTGGCAAATAGTATTTTATTAATACCATTGATTTCCCTTAACCCTGTCACAGTTAAATATGATTCCTTCCCTTGTCTTCTCCCAGCAGCAAGCTGGGATTGTTGGCATTGCCTTTCACACCTGACAGAGGAACTCGTTGCTAGAAGTCATTATGTCCATGTCAGGCCAATGATATTTACATGGAACTTTGCATTTTACAATGGATTTTTTTTCCCCCAGGTATGAACTTATTGAAATCTCAGGGCAACTCTGAGTGAAAGGAGGATTTATCATCTCTAGTTTATAGATGGGAAACTCATGGGGGTTAGAAACTTGCCCCAGGCCACATGGTTAGTAACTGATAGAGCCCGAATGCAGTCCAGGGCTCCTGGCTTCCAATCTCCCTCTCCATTAAAGATGCTGCCTCCTTGGTAAGTTCTGGGCTTTACAGTTTGAAATCTCTTCCATTATTGTCAATTCCAATAAACATGTGGGCAGATCTGTCCTGCCCACTGGAATTTTCCAGCTGAATGTCTTTAAAGACAATGACTGAATATTTGAAGACAAGGCAGGGAGAGAAATCACTAGTGAGTGGTTTCTGGGTTTGGAGACGATTATGATTTTCAAAGGACTGACTGGATTTTTATATAACCTCTACAATATTTGTTCCACTGTCTTCAGTGTGCTGTCCTGTGAATCATTCTTCAATGGTGTGAGATAAAGTTTACTTGCCAGTTTTCAGGTTTGGAATGAAAAATACAAGTTGTCGTTCAATCGTCTTTGTCTGGTAAGCTCTAGACTGGGTTGCTAACAGGTGGTGAAAACAAGCTGATCCGTTGTCACTGCTTTCTTCAGCCCATGTGAAGTGCTGATGAGGAATTAGTTGCTGGAGTGCGAGTCCCTGCGTGGATTTACTTGACACCTGTTTGGTTGTCCCAGGCCTCTACATCTGCATAAAGGTTTCAGGTTTCCAGGGAGGCGGTTCCTCTTCACGTGCTCTCAATGGCCTGTCGCTCACTGTCCTCCAGAGTTCCATGAGGGACCCCAGGAGAACTCCTAGAACTGCCCTCCAGCACCACCTCCCTCGAAGGACACTCTGCTGGAGCAGGTATGAACTGCTAAAACCTTCTAGCAATGTCTAGGCCCTCGCGTTTCCAGAATGGCCCAGTGGCTTCCTCATGGATCTTTCCTGCCAAGCTCCTCCGCTTTGCTGTGTTATTTCTCAATTCCATGGGCAAAGACATTTCCCTTCCTTCTGACATTTCAGAAATGCCATTTGATATGTTAACTGACATTGTCATTTTTGCTAAAGCAGTTTGCAAAAGGTATGCTTCTTTTCAGTTCCTGCTTTCTCCAGGGATTATCACTTACCCATTGGAGGGTTTTCTCTTCTCACATGAAGACTGCTGTCTGTAACACAACGTAAATAAGAATAACGATGCTTTCAGGTTTTTAAAAGGATTTCTGTAGAATAGAATACATACATGTATTGATGAGTTTTCAAATATTTAAAATATATAGTTTGCAAAATTCATTTATAACAAGGGTGGGGGAAAACATGATTCGTGTGATTCCCTTCCTAATTTGTGCCCTAATTCATTTTTGGATGATGGTTTTGGGTAGAATCATAAAAATGGAGTAGTTTAATCAGTACTTGCATATTTCTTCCTGCCAGCTGAATTGATACCAGCCAATTATTCTACATAAGAGAACAAGTCATCCATTTGAACTACCTTTTTTGATGCCTATCTTAGTATTTCAAAGAGAAATAACATTCTTTTACGACTTTGTTCTTGCCTGAAACAAGGATTCACCCAATCTGATAGTGCATTCTGGCAGTGGAGTGTTTCCACCTCAGAAATCAGCATGTTAGGGTTGCTTGTCCCACTCCTTTGCACAGGCCAAGCCCATCCTGCAGCCCCCACCAGCTGGCTTTCTGTTGAGATATTGCTGTACCTAAAATTAAAAATTTGTAAGGAATTACTGTAAAAACATGGGGAAGAGTTGGTTGTAAGTCATATTTACTGATTTTCAGATCTGGACTAAAGGTGAAGTGATTCACTTACAGGTCTTTTAAAAAAAATCTTATTTATTTATTTATTTATTTATTTATTTATTTATTTATTTATTCCTCATCCTAAGTGTGCTCTTTAACCCCCATCACCTATTTCCCCCACCACCCCACCCACCTCCTCTCCGGTGACCATCAGTGTGTTCTCTGCAGTTAAGAGTCTGTTTCTTGGTTTGTGTCTCTCTCTGTTTTTTCCTTTTTCCTTTGTTTTGTTTCTTAAATTCCACATATGGTATTTACAGTGAAATCACATGGTATTTGCCTTTCTCTGACTGACTTATTTTACATAGCATAATACTCTCTAGCTCCATACATACCATTGCAATGACAAGATTTCGTTTTTTTATATGGCTGAGTAATATTCCATTGTATATATACCACATTTTCTTTATCCATTCATCAGTTGATGGACACTTGGACTGCTTCCATAATTTGGTTATTGTTGATAATGTTGCTATAAACATAAGGGTACACATATCCCTTCTAATTAGTGTTTTCATTTTCTTTGGGTAGATACCCAGTAGTGTGATTGCCAGATCATAGGGTAGTTCTATTTTTGACTTCTTGAGGAAACTCCATACTGTTTTCCAGAGTGGTTACACCAGTTTGCATTCTCACCAACAGTGCAAAGTGTTCCCCTTTCTCCAGATCCTCACCAACACCTGTTGTTTCTTGTGTTGTTGGTTTTAGCCATTCTGACAAGTGTGAGGTGATATTTCATTGCAGTTTTGATTTGCATTTCCCTGATGATCAGTGATGTTGAGCATCTTTTCATGTGTCTGTTAGCCATCTGTATATCCTCTTTAGAGAAATGTCTGTTCATGTCTTCTGCCCATTTTTTAATGACATTATTTATTGTTTGGGTGTTGAGTTGTATAAGTTCTTTATATATTTTGGATACTATTCTTTATCAGATATGTCATTTGCAAATATCTTCTCCCATTCGGAAAGTTGTCTTTTAGTTTCATTGACTGTTTTCTTCACTGTGCAGAAGCTTTTTATTTTTGCATAGACCCAATAGTTATTTTTGCTGTTTCCCTTGCCTCAGGAGACGTAGCTAGAAAGAGGTTGCTATGGCCAATGCCAGAGAAGTTACTGCCTGTGTTCTCTTCTAGGATTTTGATGGTTTCAGATCTCACATTTAAGTCTTTAATCCATTTTTGTGTATGGTGAAAGAGAGTGATCTGGTTTCATTCTTTTGCATGTGGCTGTCCAGTTTTCCCCACACTGTTTGTTGAAGAGACTGTCTTTTTCCCATTGCATATTCTTTCCTGCTTTGGTGAAGATTAATTGACCATATAATTGTGGGTTTATTTCTGGGTTTTCTATTCTGTTCTATTGATCTATGTGTCCATTTTTATGCCCAAACAGTCCAACACTGTTTTGATCACTACAGCTTTGTAAAATAACTTGAAGTCCAGAACTGTGATGTTTTCAGCTTTTCTTTTCTTTTTCAAGATTGTTTTGGGTATTTGGGTCTTTTGTGCTTCCATACAAATTTTAGGATTATTGGTTCTAGTTCTACTTTCAGGAACTTTTTACAAGTGTAGTAAATTTGAGAAAAAAATAGAAGAAAATTTTGTAAAAAAAAAAAAAAGGTTTGTTGACTTTTGTTCACTATTGAAATGACATTTAGGAACAGAAGTTTTTGTTTGGTTGGTTTTAGATTTTATTTATTTATTTGAGAGAGACAGAGAGAGAGCATGAGCAGAGAGAGGGAGAAGCAGACTCCCCACCAAGCAGGGAGCCTGATGCAGGACCTGATCCCAGGACCCTGAGATCATGACCTGAGCTGAAGGCAGATGCTCAACTGACTGAGCCTCCCAGGCACTCCCTGAACAGAAATTTCTAAAAGGGAAATATAAATTACATAATTTGTTGCTACCACTTGACACCATAAAGATAAGTGAAAATGAAATCAAGTGACCTGCAGATAGTGTCCACTGGGGTTGTCCATCAGTAGCTGTTTTACCTTTTCAGTGTACATCACTTCCTTTGGACAATTGACCCATTCCCCCATTCCTGCTTTCTCCCTTTGTTTTATCTCATTTCTTACCTTGCTATCATTCCCTCCTTCTCTTTTTTCTCTCTTTTCCTTCTCTTCAAAGCCTTAGGATTGATGAAACCACCCCAACTGGAACCTAGAGAGGTGTTGCACTGGGATGGTGTAAATAGGTAGGTGGGACCACATCTTTTCCTGTTGAATCTGAAAGGGTTGACATCTCACTCATAACCAACAGAAAATGCAGAAATGATGCTATGTGGCATCTGGGGCTAGCACAGAAAAGATAAGGACGTTTCTACCTGCTCTCTGGAATATTTGCATTGAGAGACCACATGGGGAGACCCTGAGCTACATGAAGAGGGGTGGAAAGGGGAAGATACAGAGACAGAGACAGACTAGGGAGGGGTCTGGCCAGCCCTGATGTTCCATCAGCTCTTCTGGCTCCATCCTCGATCTGACTGCTGCCACAGGAGAGACCTTGAGCTAGAAATACCCAACCAAGCCTTTTCCAAATTTGTGACCCAAAAAATAAGTGAGCAAGATGAAATGCTCACTTTCAGTCCCTGAGTATTGGGGTAATATGGTACACGGAAGTGGATAACCAGAAAAATGAGTTTGATAAATTGGCTAGGAATCAAGAAGCTTGAGGACCTGGGTGTGGTTTTTCTGATACCACTTGGTGTAGGATACTTTTCTTGCCAAGAGTTTTATTTCTTGTCTAGAAGCAGATCAAAAAATTCATTGTTATATCTTCTTACAAGATTGTCATAATTTACTTCAAAGGAGATAATGTACCTTTGAGAAAAGTAAAAATTGTTAGGTAATACAATGGTACTATTGGTATTATTATTCTTTAGCACTTTTTTTTTAAATTTCAAGTTTTTATTTAAATTCTAGTTAGTTAACATATGTGGTGAAATTGGTTTCAGGTATAGAATTTAGTGATTCATCACTTACATATAACACTCAGTGCTCATCGCAACAAGTTCTCTCCGTAATACCCATCACACATCTAGCCCATCCCCCACCCACCTCCCTCCATCAACCCTCAGTTTGTTCTCTATATTTAAGAGTCTCTTATGGTTTGTTTCCCTCTCTCTTTTTTCTTTTCCTTTCCCCCCTCTGATATGTTCATCTGTTTTGCTTCTTAAATTCCACATTCATATGAGTGAAATCATATGGTATTTGTCTTTCTCTGACTGACTTATTTTGCTTAGCATAATACCCTCTAGCTCCATCCATGTCGAATACAATGGTATTATAAATTTCTATAGAAGAAAAAATGGAGTGAAATAGAAGTTTATCTATAGCTATATTGCCATTGACTCCTGTTATTAGCGTTACCAGTATTTCCGAGAAGCAGTGAAATGGCTCTCTAGCCAGCCTGTCTGGTTTTTGTCCTGGCTGTGTGGTTTACTAGCATGTGATGGTGGGCAAATTACCCAATAAATCAGTTATATGATAAACACCAACTATTAATGTTGTTCCTCCTATAAGGTTTTCAGCAATTATCCCTTCCCTGCCCTCACATCCTACTGTTTGACTATCGTTGTCTTTTTTGTCTGTTAATGCATGGCTTAGACATCTTACTTTGGGTGACAGGCCCAGGGTGGACACCCCCACCCCCAAGACCCCACTTGTACATGACTTGTGCCGTGCTGACTCCTCTACACACCTGTTCTGATGTTTTGTCCGTGGTTGACTTTCCTGTCACCCTGGCTAGAGTCTGACCCTCAGGGAGAAAGCATGTCCTGTCTTTGTTTCCATCTGCCAGAATCTAGTGCAAGTAAGGCATAGAGAAGGAAAAAATGGGTGAATCAGTATATGAGTGAATTATGCATTTGCTTTAAGCCACAAATAATGCAAATTTGGAAAGTGCTGGAGGAGAAGTGCTTCTAAAACTTCGTGTCGGGGCACCTGGGTGGCTCAGTTGGTTAAGCGACTGCCTTCAGCTCAGGTCATGATCCCAGGGTCCTGGGATTGAGCCCCGCATCGGCTCCCTGCTCGGTGGGGATCCTGCTTCTCCCTCTCCCACTCCCCCTGCTTGTGTTCCCTCTCTAGCTGTCCCTCTCTCTCTCTCTCTCTCTCTGTCAATTAAATAAATAAATAAAATCTTTAAAAAAAAAATAAAACTGTGTGTCATGTAAATGATCCTTTTCTGATGAGTAATGTGGCAGTTGGCTTGATTTACTGCAGGTCTAAAAAAGAAGTGGTAAAGATCCGGAATTTCAATGGAGTTCTGTGGCATCTTTCGAGCCTTCCTTGTCTCTAGGTAGAAGAAATTTGGTAATTTAAATTTTCTGTGTTTTGTGAAAGGGAATCTGTGCATTTTCCATGCAGCTAGAGCAACTTCAGACCTCTGCAATGACAATGTTGTCATATCTTATGAATATTTTTCTAAAGGGATGTAACCACACTGGTGAAGACCATTGTCTCTTCTGCCTCTAGTGTCTCCTGTTGTAGTTTGTGGTGTCAGCTGGTGGTGGGAGGCTAAAGGAATTTTTGAGACTGGGCTAAAGGTAAGTTAAGTTGGGAATATGCCATTTTAATAGCAATTTGGAAAGCCATTTTAGAATGTTTCAATGAAGCAAGAAATTCCCAACTTCTGGTTTTGTGAATCTAAAAGGTACCTTTTCTAGTCATCTAGTCAAAGGGACTGGGGTGGGGGGATTGAGACAAAAATCAATAGAATATTAAACAAAAACAATAAATACGAGCAGTGACATCAGTGGAGATGATTCTCGTGCTGAGAAGTAGGTTGTATAACATTTTTTGTCATATTGAAACAGAAATGTACTAAAAGGAGGAGGTAAGTTTCTAACAGAAGTATCAGGTAGTGATTTACAATTAGTTACTCTGCAGGAAAACATAAGATGCCATTTTTAGAGTTTATAGATGAAATAAGTTGATAGAGGTTTCTCAAGTTTGACAAGAAATCTAAAACATTTCCTGATATCATCAACAAAGAGTTGTGAAGCTGGAAGGGATTCTTCCAGGTATGACTGATAAAAAACAAAAAACAAAAACAAAACTGGTCTTATTTTGCTGAAGAGAAGACCGAATTATCCTTCCACTTCTGGAGGATGATGTCACAAAACCATTGCCAATAATGAGGCAGTCAAAGAATAGGGAGGGGAAAATGTATGGAAGTGTGTTAGATATGTTGGGTAGCTAATTAATCCAATATTAGTGTTCTCCTGGAATTGTGATGATCATGGTATTTGTCAGTATTACAACATCTATCATTTATTTCATTTTGTTTTTCCAAATACATCCTGACTTTTGATATCTGTATTTTGTATTCTTGTCTATAAAATGGACCCCTAAACTGTATGGACATCAGGGCCCACAAAGCCTACACATGCCCCCATCTAACTGTTGTACTTGTATGTCCTATTTTACACTTCTGAGGTCTGCACTTTCCATGCATTGTCTCATATCTACAAACTTGAGTGACTTCACATCACTACATAGTCTCTAGTTAATTGATTGTTAATTTTAATTTAAACCCCTGTGAAAAATCTTTCATCTCTCTTCCAAAGGAGATTTCCATTTTTATTAGTGTTGACTAAATTTCCTTTAGAAGATAGCAGTGATTGAGGAAGAAAAGAAGAAAATGTTATATATAGAAATTGGGTTGGCATGTACTTAAAATGATGCGTATACTATGGGAACTTGAATATTGACTCAACTGGATGGCCAATAGGCTAACAAAAAATTCAAGTTACAGAAAGTGCTATTGTTTTGCCTATCAGCCTGCTTAGCAGCCAACAGCTCGGTACACTTGAGGCAATGAGTTCTGGATTTGGGAAGCCTAGAAGATTTTGTAAAGACCAATTTTCCTCAGGAATGGGGTTTAAATTTTGGTAGGAAAAAAGTGGCAAGATTTGAAATGATTTTGTAGGCACTCATCTCTTCATAGGTTTAGGGTACAAATTCCTGAAGAACAAGGTGGGTGTTGCTGGTGAACCCGTTCCCATTTTGGAAGCAAACAAACCAACAGGTGTCTGTATGATCAATAGAGTTTTAACACTGGTGGGTGTTTGTCTTGAAAGAGGAGAACTATGTTAAACCATTTGCTCAAGCACCTTCTAGAGAAAAGATGGCTTACTCACATTAGGGAATGTAAACATCACTTACATTCAGAGGGTCAATTGAGCTAGACTCTTGCATGACGTCTTCTCCTTTGCCCCCAACTTTCCTTCACCTACTGTAACATGGAATCAGATTGCCCTTCCCTCCTCTGGAATTGCTTTCTTCCTTTATCTCGTGTTTGTCAAGCCTTTCCCACCTACCCTGCCATCATTCCCCATGGTCTTAAATACCATATAAGATTGACAGTCCTTCCATTCTTGTCAGTACCCAAATGTACCCTGAATTCCAATTTGGTATATTTAGCTACTTACCTGGAATTTCCACCGCACGGGCATCTTCAAGTTCATGTGTCAATACCAAACTCTGGATTTTATTTCACGACCCCCAACCTGCTAGTTGGATGTCCTGGACTTTGTGGCTTATTGTCTACTCTTGAGTTGGATGGCATCAAAATCTTGAACAGATGGTCCCACTGTTTTAGAATTAATTTATAGCAATGCACAGTAGCTTTACTTTTCATTGCTCTTTTGTTGTGTTGTTGTTTCTTTCTTTTTTTTTTTTTTTTCAATTTGAGAATGTATTCAGATACTCCAAGCATATGTTGAGACTAGTGGAACACTTCTCTGGGTTTAGGAATCTGTATATTTTAAAATCATCATAAGCTCCAGTTTATCCAACAAGCCATGAGTGCCTTCAGTGACTTTCTGAAGTGGAAACACACTTTCCAGTCAGTGTTGGCAAAGGGCAAGGGCCATTAGGGGTCATTGGGCAAGGAGAAGGAGGGCCGGAACCTTTTCTAAAAACCCTCTTCGTGGAAAGTCCCTTCTCTTGTTATTTCCCCTGATTCCTCTCTATGGTGCATAGTAAAACAGAAGTAGAAAGAAATTCTTAAATGACAGCAATATCATGCTGCTTCAGACACCTTTGTAATGACAGCTCCCTGGTCTCCAGTTAACTTCTGAGTATTTAAAAGACAGGGAGGGATTTCTGCTACTTTAAAGTAATTAATAACTCTTCACCATAAATACTTTTCTCCTGGATTTCTTAGCAGTGGATGAATGGGCTCCAGCCTTTGATTCAGCTTTTACTGACGATTCAGGCTTAGTAGAAAATAGTTTTTAAAGAACACTGAATTAAAATATCATGTGACTCATGAGCAGAAATAGGGGATTTTAATAGAGGGGAAAATGTCAGAGAAGGACAGAATCTCTGTGGCCCAGTATGATTGGTGAAGGATTTTCCCACAGAAGTGGAATTAGAGTTGGGTCTGGATGGAGGGCAGAGGAGATGGATTTCTAGAGAGAAGAGAAAACCATTCTCAGGGAAGTACAAATGTGCACAGAGCCACCAGACAGGTCAAGCTGCTGGCATTCGCGGACAGCACCATGATCTATGTGGCAGGGTTTGTGTGGGTGCTGGCAGGGCCCGAGACTGTTGGGTCACAAAGATGAACCCAGTTTAGAAGGAGTTACATCATTTGTTAACTCAATAAATATTTGTTAAGTGGTAGCTACATGACAGCTATTGGGGGTGTAGTGGCAGGCAAGTCGGATGAAGTCCCTGCCTTCATATATAATATTGGAAGCACTGCGTGTCACTGAAAATGCACACAGCCCGATCAGTAAATAACGGGGTATGGAGGGAGAGAGGTGAGCATACCTAAGAGGAGAGGCAGGGGGATTCTCTGAGGAGGTGACCTCTCTGTTTGTATTTTATGGGGCTCTATAGGTGTCAAGGGGTGTGGGGATTGTAGGGCCCAATTCTAGCTCTGAGCCACCCCTGCAGAAGTTAAGTCAGAGAGCACAGGCTAGTCCCCGAATGGTGGCCCTAGGCAGTGAGAAATATTCCCATTCCACAGACACATACAAGATTGTCTTGATGGTTCTCGCCAATGAGTGTGGAGTCTGAGAAGTGGCCACCCTCAAAGCTGGCTGGTTTTCTTCCCTGAACAGGTGGGCGCAGGTGTGCTACTTGCCGAGATGAGAAGACTGAGAAGTGGCATTATTTTGCAGATATGAAAAGTTCAAGTTACGGGCCCATGATCTTTTAACTCCCTGTGAGATATCTGAGCAAAGATGACATGCATTTGGTTACAAGTAAATAAAGCATGTTGAGTGTTAGGTGAAAGTAAGACCCATGTGACAAATGGACTGGCACTCCGACCAAAAACTGAAGTTAGAAGTGATCTGTTCAGCACCATCCGATTAAAGTATGGTTGAGGAATGTATATTAGTTTCCTACCCTATGTGAAACATCATCTTAGGCACGGTGGGAATCAACCAGGCACCTCTGCAAGTCATCCTGGGAGGGGCACAGGTGAAAACAGTCCTGTGGGTCATTGTATGGAGTGTGGTCTCAGTTTAGGAATTTCTGCCATATTTATTTACCTAAATATTCAGAGATCTACCAGGATGTCACCACTGGGAGTTCCACAGTGACTCATGAAGACTGGAGCTAAAGGTCAATTATTCTTCCAGGTCTAGCTGCCTTTCTCTCTACCTGCCTAGAATCTGTGTCATCATGGAAAACAAGTTTCTAAGGAATGTAGGCGTCACGACCTGCAACAGCATTCAAACTGAGTCCAGGAGAGACAGAATGGAAGGGTCTGGCCCCATGTGCAGCATGTGGAAGTGTGGGGACCAGAAGAGCACTTCCACAAGGTACTGGGTAATGGCAGCATTTTCATGCAAGAAAATACTCCTCCCGTGGTAGCTGAGAGGACAGCGCAAGACCACAAGCAAACCCAGCACCATCCATTTCCAGGGAGAGTGTGGATTCTTTGTTCCTTCACAACTTTGATCATCAGAACATGTATTCAGTTTGTGTGATTTTTGCTTGGAAAGAACTGAGTGGTTGGCAACAAAAACAACATTATAAGGGAAGTACTTGTAAAGCTCCTAAGTGATTCCCTTAGGGCATGGACACCCAGAGCAATGCTCTGTTCTCTGAACCTCATCTGTTCCAGGCATCCTTGGCTGGTTGGTCTGGTCACACAATCCACTGCAAGACGTGGGTCTCTCAGTATTTCCCCAAAAGGAGGGCTGGTGTGTGTGTGTGTGTGTGTGTGTTTTAAACACAAATGTGTCCAAACTAAGTACTGCTTATGTCAATCAGGGTTCTGGAAGGACGCAAAATTCAGGCTAGATGATTCAAATGAAGAGATCTTAATGAAGAAACTACTCACATTGTATTTCTTAAACTTACATATATTACATGTAAATAATAGCTCAATAAAGCCAGGGAAAGAAAGAAGTGTCTTTGTGGGAGGCAGATTTCTAAACAGCCACAAGAATTATTGTCCACATACACCTCTGTAACTCTTTCCTCTGCTGGGTGGGCTGCATTTAGTGACGGGCTTCCAACCAATAGAACACAGCAAAGGTGTTGAGGTCTCATTTTCATGATTAGGTCACAAAAGATGTGGCTTTGGTTTTGCTGGTATCTCCCTTGCCTTCTTGCATTGAAGCTTTGATGAAGCAAGCCCCCATGATGGAGGGACCCACTTGGCAAGGATCTGAGGGCAGCCTCCCACAGCCAGACTTCGAGGAATCGAGTTATACCAACAACCACTTGGTCACGGTCCTTTCCCTGGCTGGGCTTCCTGGTGACCATAGCCTGGCCACCACTGGGCTGCAGGCTGATGAGACTCCATTCTAGGGGGTCCAGCTAAGCTGCACCTGGACCCCTGACCCAAAGAAGCTGTGAGATAATAAATGTGCGCTGTCCCAAGCCACTAAATCTTGGTGTAATTTGTTATGCAGCAATAGATCATTAATAATTCCAGGTCTATTGGGGGCATACTTTAAAAAAAAAAGATTTATTTATTTATTTTAGAGGGGTAGGAGGAGAGGGAGAGGGAGAGAGGACTCCGATCTGAGCATGGAGCTTGATTTTGGGGATCAATCTCATGACTCTGAGATCACAAGCTGAGCCAAAATCAAGAGTTGGATGCTTAACTGACTGAGCTACCCAGGTGTCTCTTGGGGGCATACTTATATTTACAATCAACTTATAGAACATTTCCATGATCCCCTAGAATTCCACCCTGCCCCTTTCCCCAGCCCCTGGTAACTATGACTCAATGATGATTGAGTTTAAGGATAGTTATCTAGGTTTATAATCTAAGATTTTACTTATGCATTAATTTTACTATCATGATTACAGTGTAGAGTGCTGATCTCCATCTCTTTCATTTGCCTTTTGATGAATGAGTGTAAAAAGTTTTCTTCTGCCAGTTTTCTTCTGTACCATTAGGGACAGGACATGAAAAGTTCTGAACTGGGGCGCCTAGGTGGCTCAGTCGTTAAGCGTCTGCCTTCGGCTCAGGTCATGGTCCCAGGGTCCTGGGATCGAGCCCCGCATCGGGCTCCCTGCTCCGCAGGAAGCCTGCTTCTCCCTCTCCCACTTCCCCTGCTTGTGTTCCCTCTCTTGCTGTCTCTCTCTCTCTGTCAAATAAATAAATAAAATCTTAAAAAAAAAAAAAAAGAAAAGAAAAGTTCTGAACTCCCATTGTCGCCCCCAAGTCTCTAAATCTTCACTGAAGGTTGTGCAGTCCTTCGGGCAGGGCAAGAAGAAAACAGAAAGCTGAGGATGTTTCACAATTGCTTCATCTTTCAGGTCCTTCTATCACCCTCTGGTTCTCATTATTTGGTCTTTTTTTTAGCACTGCTGGGAATAATTGATGGGTAAGGATGAGAGATGATGATATAATTTCTGGGATTATAAGTAGCAAAACATTTCAAGATGCAGGAAAAATAAGATCACTTAGACTCATAATGTGCCTTATGGTGATGATGAACTTATGGGAGAATCCAATGGACCTGTATGGTAATTAAAAGATTAAACGTCTTATTCTATTTTTAAAAATAAGTGTATTTTATCTTTGGTTTTTGGAAGACCTCTAAGAGAGGATAAAAGTCATGAAATGCCATTTAAACCACTTTGAAAACCTCAGACACTAAAACAGGGTCCAATAATGCCTGGTGCTGAATGTGAATGAGGTAGGGTGAGACCTGAGGCCAGAGGTGGTAGCGAGCCATTTCCACCCTGTGAGAGGGGGACAAAAAGAAGAGCTCAGTATAGAGAAGGAGCCCAGCAAGAGGCAGAACCGTAGAGAAAAGGCCACTGGAATCAGTGAATTTAGGAGAAGCCCGGTTGTTGCCATGGGCATCATGTCAAAGCAGGGGAGAGACAATGATGCCTCCTTGCTGACACTCAGCCATCAATGATGCATTCCCTTAGCCAGACCAAGCCAACTGGCACCTTTCAGGGCTCTAAGGGCAGACAGGCAGAGGATGGATCTAGGCAGCCGTGTGAAAAAAGAACCTTCACATGCTTCTAGTGACTTCTTTGAAATCTGTCTTGGATGGTTTTCCTCTTTAGCACATGTGAATATACCTCATTCTTCTAAATTGCTCTAAGACACAAAGCATAGATGAACCATACCAGGGAGGACCTTAGAAAGCAGGTGGCACTTCCTCTGAGGCTTGAAGGATTTTAGTACATGTTTCTCTGTATAGAGCAGAAATGGCAGTCCAAAGTGTAATGAGCTGAGTAAGGGAAAGGCTCATTATCTGAGAGGCTTCTCTGGTGGCTGGCATAAAATAGATACTCAATAAATACTTACATTAAATTGAGCTTGTTGAGGAAGAGAATTAATCAACCAAATCTGCATTTTTTATTGTTGTTTCATTAAATACATTTCTTTAGCTGTATGTTAACAGTAAAGAAATTTGGAGATCTGAGGCAATAATCTAGATAATTTTAAGACTGATAACCTGCTATTTAGGAAGTCGTTCTTTTAGGTCTAAATGAGCTATGTTGAGTAGAGTCAATTAGATCATTGCTCAAGTCCACATACTATGCCATTTGGCATGTTCTATCTTTTTGTTTAAAATGGTAATTAGTGGGGCGCCTGGGTGGCTCAGTTGGTTAAGCGACTGCCTTCGGCTCAGGTCATGATCCTGGAGTCCCGGGATCGAGTCCCGCATCGGGTTCCCTGCTCGGCAGGGAGTCTGCTTCTCCCTCTGACCCTCCTCCCTCTCATGCTCTCTGTCTCTCATTCTCTCTCTTGCAAATGAATAAAATCTTTAAAAAAATGCTAATTAGTTTGTCTTTGAAAGACCAGCTTGACTTAAAATTGTAGTCTTCATATAGAAGTGTTAATATTAATTTTTCACACTCACAGAAATGATTTCCAGAACATTAACTACAATAGTTGTATAATTATGCTCTCTTTTAGATAATTCTGCAGCAATTTCTTCTTTCATCTTTGACTTCATCCATAACGGGAAAATGTTGTGGGAGAATGCATGGGGGGTACTTTCACTATTGGCATAATTTTTCCTGCCTGCTTTTTGTCAACTGCATATAAAACTGTAGAAGAAAAAATATGCTTCAATATACAGTTTTCATTGTGCTTTAGATACTTCTAATATCCCTTACTAAATGCCATAATTCCACATATGCAGCTTGTCACCTGGCATATGTAGACACGGAATTATTTGGGACATTATCACGTAGTTACATCAAAATGCTGAGCAGAGAAAAAATGGCATCTGATATCCACCCAGGGTTTAGACAAGAAATTTTTGTTTGATGTGAAGGCATTAATAATTTGATCACAGAGGAACATTTTTCAGTAGTGCTCGCAGATTGCTGGTAAAAGATGACTCTTCCCTTGTGGACACGCTTTATATCACACACCCTCCAGTTGCTGATGGAATCTCACATGAACCGTGTGGGGCAGGCACTTCATCTGCTCAGGGAGGGAGGACACACTCAAGCGATAAGGAGCCTGTGTGTCTTTTGGGATCTAAAACAAGTTGTTTCAAACCTCAGGCAGTTGAAGTTCATACTGACATGGCTCTAAAGACCTTGGGGGTGACCACCATACAACTACCTGAATCCGTTTCTCTCCTGGTTCAGTTTCAAAATCAAGACTTAAAACAGTTTTGTGGGGTATGGGCTTACACCTGTATACCAATGTTCAAAATGAGCTTTTGACTTTGAAGGTCTAATCTTTTGTCATTCAGGGAACATGAGTTCCCCACTTGGCCCAACACCTCCAAATCAGAGCTCATCGTTGTCTTCTCCTCTGTTTATCTGGTGGGAGTTATAGGAAGGGATGGCAGAAGACAGGAGGGGCAGGTTTTATAGACGATGTAACGGGTTTTTGGTGCCTCCTCTCTCTTGGCCAACTATGAACACTATCTGAAATTTTAGGAGACAAGATACAGTAAGCCATAACATGTCCCAGTTCCTAAGAAGGCACATCCTTCTTTCCTTAAGGGAGAGTACAAACATAGGTAGGGACCTCTGTTACTGTCTCTGTTTTCCCTACTGACTCTGCATGGTTTCCAATTAGCTGGAGATGAGATCTGGAGCTGGATTTTCAGTAGTCTGATGGCTGCATTCACAGAGGTAGTAGGTATGACATGGTGGACGATGGGGATGGAGGGCTTGCCAGTGGGTTCTTCTTAATAGGGAGTTTTCTGTGCTTCCTCCTTAGTTCCTCACCTTCACAGCCCAGACTCAAAACTGTCTCTGGGACTTGTCTCAAGCTGCTGTCAGCTGCAGGAAGGAGGGTATTCTTACTCCCCAGTCATATCCCCTGGCAGACTGTCATTTGAGTCCTTTTTGTGCAGGAAAATGAGATCAGTTCATTCTCTCCTGCTCCTCCTCCCAAATCAAGGCCCAACTTACCAGCCTGCAGCACGGAGTTCTCAAGAGGGTGGGGAGAAAGGACAGGTCTCCCTACTCCTCCACACCAGCGGCAGCCCCAGCAGGGTAAGGGGGGAGTCTCGTGGGGTCACCGCTGCCCTCCCGCTCCAAACTTCCTGAACATTTGTCTGCCCTCACACGACTGACTTCATTTCCATCATCTGTGAAAATGTCCGTGTCCCCTACCAGACAGGCACAACTGCCAACTTAAGGATTTTGTATTATTTACCTTTGTATCGCCAGCCCTAACATACTGCCTGCCATGTAGTAGTTAGAGGACACATGTTCTGGAGGAAAAAAAAAATTGACACATGATAAAATATAATTTTTACCATAGAATGAACACAAGTGTACTCTGGATGAAAGGCAAACAGTCAAAATGCAAGATAAGAAGGCATTTGTTAGGTGGTAAATACTGAAAGAGTAGAGATACCCCAGTTTTTCTAGAGAAAACGACAAAAACACGGATTGACCAGGAGGCCCAGAGAGCGAGGGCCAGGCGGCTGGAAGTCAAGGAGGGAAGCTTGTTCACTCCTCCTCCCTGCACAGAGAGCTGAGTGGGAGGAAAGGGAAGAACATAAAGCCGGAGTGGAACATAAGGAAGAATCTCGTAGAGTGGTGTGGGCCGAGAGGTCGGCCAGTGAGTTCCTGAAGGGTGGGAGCTTGTGCCAAACTGTAATTCCCAGTTTACTCATGCACTTGAATTCTATGATTGTGTGTCCTAGATAAGAGTTCCGTACAGAGCAGATGGAAGAGTGACAATTAGTAGTCTCTGTATTAACTAACATTTATTGAGTATCTATTATGAGTCTGGCCTCAACTCGGTTAATCCAGTCCTCATGACACCCACTCCGGGGTGGGCTCTTGTTATTAACCTCATTAATGGGGTTAACCCCACAGATGGGCTACTTGAGGAACAGCAAGGTCAAGTCACCAGCCCAAGATTATCATAGGAATTACATGGGATTCTGAAACCGGGCGTGAGGATACACGTAGAGCAGAGAAGGAAACAAAAGCTGGTCATGAATCACTTGGTGTGGCCAGATGTGCATTGACCCGTCTGCCTAAGTGTGGCTCCTAAATGTAGGCACTCGCAGCAACCCACTCTTTCCCGATCAAATCAGAAGAGTAAGTATCAGATAGTATTATTTCATAATCAAAATATTTCATCAGAGTGCCTGCTGGTAGCAGATATCTAAAGGTCTCCCTTGTCCAAGATCAGACATCCACTAGCTCATTTCATTCAGTTTTCTCATTTGTTACGTCGAGATCATAATGGCGTCTCCCTCCGAGGAATGATGAATGATGTTGCATATCGAGTGAATAGCAGCATCTCTGCCATACTATCTGCTCAATAAATGTCAGCTGTTATTATCTGTGGCAAATTAGTGAGTGTATTCTGTACCGTCAGTATGTTCTTAGGCTCTCATCTAACTGTATTAGGTCCTTAAGAGAAAAGTTGCCAAATACATTTTGCACTACTTTGTGTTGCATCAACAAACCACCGATAAGGCTTATTTGCTTCTGGTATAAAACAAAGACCCGCCTCAGAGGCAAATACTACTGTAGTACACAGGCCACCATTCAGATGGTGTTAGATTCATCTGAAAGCTCTTCTGGAAAGCCGTGCTGGAAATAATCAGATGCTATGGGTCTGTCACGTAATCCTGGTCCAAGAGCCTAACGAGAATCAGCTCCAAGGAGGGAGAAATGTCTCTTGTATCCAGTTTCAGTGGGCAGGACCACGATGTGCTCTGCATCTAGGGCCCCTTCTACAGCCACAATGCAGGGCACTGTTGCTACCCACGGTGAGGAAGCAGAGCCTCAGTGGGGTGAACACGCTCAGGATCCACCCGCCACACGGCCATGAGAGGGCAGGACTTGAGACCCCCCACAGCCCAGGCTCGGAGCCCAGAGTCCTTCTGCAACGCCCCTCTGTTGGCCGCAAGCTTGTAGGTCATGGGCGGGAGCAGCGTGCGGGGGTGTTAGGTCTCTGCCAGCCCTGCTAGGAGCTTCCAGGAACGTGCATTCTTCTTTAGTGACACTTTGTTGAGAAGATCTGCTGCTTTCTCTTCTTTACTTGGCAGGTTTCGAATACCCACGGTAGCTTTAACTACACAAAGATGTTTTCAAGAGTTCAAGGAAACCTTTTCATAAACAGCAGTCTTTGGGAAATTGCAGATTGGAGGCCCTCCTTCAGGCCTCCAGAGAGCAAACGGGTTGCCCTGTAGCCACACAAGCCACCTCGGCCTCGAGTGTAGGTCAGGAGGCCTCTCTCCTGAGTAGTTCTGGGGAGAGTTCACGGATGTGTGAGCTCAGTCCTAAGCCCGTTGGCTGCCCCCTGGAATACCATCATTCCCCTTGACCTGCACACGTTTGGTTTCATCTTCAACAGGAGAAAATCCTGGAAATCCGGCATTGTTTGGCCCCTTTTCTCACTAACCGATCCAGGCTTTTCAGAAATCGCTCTGCTTCATTCTAAACAGGAAGTTTCTGCAGGCAGTTGTACAAATGACATGGCTTTGTGTGGGATGTCACCTATTGTTACTGGAACAAAGACATTCTGAAATAAGGACAAAGCCTTCAAATCCGCCAGGGTCCCGGACCCTTCAATAGCCTTGCATTGTGTCTGGAGGGTGATTGAGTGAATTGGGTCACTCCAAGAATATACCTAAGCTTCTGAAACTCTGCTATTATTAGGGTTGCAAATAGCATTTCCAGTAGCTGTTCTAGCTGCTCTGCATATATGCAAAGCAGGGCCTTTCTAAATAGCTGTGGTTACCTGCATGGGTATAAAGAAATGGGGAAAAAAATGTCTGTGGATCGAGCCATAACTCAATCCTTCCACTCTTAACGTGTTAGGAATAGCAAAATATTTATTAACCGCGAGTGCAATTAAAGTTTCTCTTTTGAAACACTGTGCACGAGTCACGTGGTTCTCCAGCTTTTAAGGCCTATGTCTGTAGAGTGTAGATGTTTTATATGATGTTAAAAGAAAGCCTGCGTCACCGGAGGCTAACAGGAGAGAGAAATTCAGCTCCCTGTTAGCGGCAACTATCCAGTCCATGGCTCGCACCAATCCGTGGCTTCTCATCTCAAAGAATTCCGAGTGTGGGTTTTGGTATAATGAACTGTGTTTATAAAATGAAACTTATTCCCCTTGAAACAGGATTGCATTTAGCAGTGTTTTTCTTTATCTTAATAGCGAAATTGGTAAAACATTTTCAAAAATGTTATCTGAGACTATGTATACAACAAAAATAATGAGATCATTATACATTCCCTTCCCCTTTTCCCTCTGTATGAAACAGCTCGCTCAGCTAGATTTTGCA